ACAGTTTTAAGAGCAGACGAATTTGGGGAAAAGCGCTGCAGACTTGCTTGCTGGGCTTGGCGAGGCGCCAACCGTTTTTCCACCAACTGTGGTCGCCTGCCACCTTCCACAGTTAAAGCTGAAAGGTCTGGCGCCATGCTAAATCCAGCCCCTCTGAAATGCCCCAGCACTAGCAGCGAATTGTTGCACAAAATACATCCTTGTTCATTTCCGATGCGGTAGATCCTATGGATTTCTTTCATACACTATTTTATGAAAAAGAAAATCGTAACTCCAGGGAACAATATAATGACTAGAAAACCCAACCCCGGAAGCTTCCAGAAATTTTCAGCTAATCCAGTTATTACTCCGGTGCCTTACAGCATACAATTTCTCCTTCCCAATTTATTATTTCAAATTCCATTATTTTCTATCCTAATCAAATTTCTAAAAGTGCAACTTCAACTAGCCCATGGTTTACCCCGTCAGTGGAGGTGGTGTCATCACAAGTGTCGAAGTTTATCACGTACACAGTCCGAAGGTCAAACAACTGATCGAGCCCGTCAGGGCCACCCAAGCTCCTAATTCCTCTGGGATCGGCTATTTGGTAGCAGACTCGTTCAGGTGGATAAAAACCCTGACTTGTACATTGACTAGTTCCCTTGGGAGCTGAAGCGCATTTGAAATCGCTGCAAATCGTATTCGAAAACAATTCTGAATGTAAGCGGCGCATCCTCAAAAGAGACTGATTAACACAGGTTGTTTATTCTCTTGCTATGAATCATTGAAATCATTCCCCCTTCTCTCACCACACAACATAAGATGTGCACGGAAACAGCAATCCCAGCAAAAGATATAATGGTCGGAATCCCCAAGGTTAATACACCGTGAAGCTCGAAGCGCTTTCTGAAATCCCTATATTTTCCCAATGAGGCTGAATCCCGTGGAGGGCTCGATGGTTACGGGAGTACCTCTACCTGATAGCAGTCTATCTGGAAGTCTTCGCATTCTCCTCAGAACTTATACGGAATACCGGGATAGCGTAAGTTTAATATGACGAGGATTATTTACTGCGTAAGTTTAATATGACGAGGATTATTTGCTCCTGCTAATTGATGTTGCTATTTTAGGAGGGGAGGCATAACACATTATCGCTGGGAATCCTTGTGATGGGGAAGAGGGGGGAAGGAAAAAATTTGTAGTACACATAGTACTGTGATGTCCTTATTGTCCACCGGCCTCATTTGGTCTAAATGGGAAAACATGAAGAGGCCCTAAAAGTTCTATTGAAAAGATTCCGCAGAAGATGCAGAATTCAGAATTCCTGAAAACTTGCGTAGAACTCTAGAAATCTAAGACTCAAAGATATAAGAACAGAAATTTCGCGAAAATTTCTGCGCTCCTTTGGACCTTTAGCGCCTTTCGCCGTTAAAATTCTGGTGCCTCTCCAGGTTTCTACAGTTGAATGTAGTTCCTCCACTGCGATTTTTTTCATTGGGGAGGAAGAATGAGGAAGGTTCCCTAACCCCTCTGGTACCTTTGACGCTGCAGTCATCAATATCATATTTTCCCATTCTCTTTAGAATAAAGATAAAAGGAAATAATAACGCACCACTAGCAGACGGATTATGCGAAGCGATGACGTCGGCGACAGCAGTGGTGCCGACGATGTGAGCGACGTGTAGAGCTGTCTGTCCTTGCTTATTCACAGCAAGATGATTCGCCCCACGAAATAGAAGCACTCGAGCGCAATCGGGCCTGAAAGTGACTTTCTTGAAATGTTTATATAATAGTGAAGGGAATAATGGTGAAGGGCGCAGAAGGCATTCAAGGAAAGTGGCTGCTGAAAGGACAGTAATAGGTAACGGACCCTATAGGTTGACCCTTTCAGGGCACCCCAGCAAGGGAGGTCGTTGATGTTTGTTCTTGAAAGCAATGCTTTCGGTTGTTGATGTTTCTCAGTCTTACCCGCTAGTTTTTTGAGTGGGGGCGGGGAAGTGGAGGAAGTTCCAGGTGAGCAGTGATCAGGGAGAGATGGTTTGTAGAAAACGAGGATAGAGAGGGGGGGGGTCTATCAGAAAAAGGACTTTCGAGAAGGAGTCGTGATTCGCAAAAGTTTGCCTCAAAGGCAGGATGTATCTCATACTTTACGTTATACTTTTTTCAGTGAATATCACAGAAACTTCCGCTCAGCAACGTCTCGGCTATATGGGACATACGATACAAAGTGGTAGTCAAAACAAAACAACTAAAGGAATAATCCTCTGCAATTGTGAGGCCAGTGACGAACACTTTCAACAAACAACAATCTGGTTACGGGCATGGTAAGACCTACTATTTCTAGCTACCTACCTGCCTACTTACCTTCCCATACATCTAACCCCGCTAGCCCCAAATAACCAAGGAATAGCATAAAATTCATGTTAATTGCCCTACCATGCTCTCCTACTTCTCAGTTTCCGATTCCGGTCACATTTAAGATCGAACTTCTCCACCTGGCTAGATTTTCTAGGAACTTTTCTAGAGGTAGTGACCCATAGACATGAGCTCGCATGCCGTTGCTCATATACGCCACCGGCACTTTCCTGCCGCTAGGGAGAAAATTTTGCAAAAATACGGAACTTCTCAAAAAAATTCAAAATTTCTCTTCTCTCTCTGGTACGGCCAACTTCCCATACACTAACGACGTGATCTCAAAATATCTTACAGTTTTCCTTCAAAAAACAGTTATGCAGCGGGGGAGGGGTATGTAGCATATAGAAACAGGGTAAAAGCCGGAGGAAAATAAACATCCGAAAGTCTATTTTTTCCAAAGAGGTGTACTACCACCTTCCACCAACTCAAGCAGGACCCCCTCCCTCGTTATAAATTCGCTAACGTACCAACGTGCCCTCGCATATAGACCCTCGTCGACGCCTGCTAGATGAGTATCAGGAGCTCGGCCGCCATATGTAGGTCCAACACTCTTCAAAACACCCGAATTCGTTGAAGACCATTCTGCTGCGGGGTTTCTTGACCCCTCTGAACACGAAATATTCACAATAATGTAAATGTCTAGGACTGCTTCACGGACGCTCCGACATTAAAACTATTTGCAGCGCAGGTACCCGGGCATGGACGTCAGTCCCTTTCGTCTCATACAATTGTAAAATTCGCATTCAGGGATAAAAAAATCATCCCCCCACAACACAACGTTTCCCAAAACCTACCTTGGAAGATTGTTCCAATCAGAATCAGGCCGGAATTCGCAAAGATTGCAAATAGTGCCGAATCCTAATACCAAGGTGTCTACAGAAGGTCTAGAGAGCAGGAATACGAATTACCCCCACGACAGAATTCGGTGGCTAGGTTACGGTAACGTTTGTGCAAGATATTTTATTTTTTTCGCCGATTCGGGCAAAGGTCAACGTTGAATACGGATCAAAGGCGATTGTGTAAAAGCTTTGAAAAGGGAAGAAATAAAAGCAAACAACGTACCGATTGTTGACAGAACAGACATGTAGGGGAGTGTTGCCGTTCACATTTTCCGCATCAACGACAGCGCCATAAAAAAGTAGATGCTCCACGTGTTTGGCCAATCCGTTTTTGCACGCCTAGAAGTTACAGGTTAGATAGTTACAAGTAAAGTAAATCAAAATTCCCCTGTATGAGAGAAATGAGTGGAGTAGCAGAAAGCAGATATGCTCGTGAGTGAGTGGGAGAGTTGCAAGTGGTTTAAGTGAACTAGTTGCCAAGATACATGAAGAGCTAGGCAGCAGCTGTTACAAGAAGGAAGGAAATTCCGGAACATGCACCAGGGCAATTACGTGCTTCCCATG